CCAGCCTGAGGTATGGTGACCTCAGGTTAAACCACCACCGGTTATCTCTATATAATAAGAGAGTAGCTCTACGGTCTGGTGGGATAATGGCAACTTTACCTTTTAATGACACTGGAATTTTCCAGAGAAGTCTCCATTCTTAAGAGAAAATTTATAGACAAACTTATGAAAATCAAGTCTACAATTTTTTTTCAGACCAGTCAAGGCAAACTAACAAGAAAGTCTTAACAAATGTCTTCAGGCTGGTACTGGCCTTTCTATCATAACTAACTGCTATGTCTTAAAGCATGTATACATACGCTCTCAGTATGACACTTGGCAAACTTGGATCCAACCTTTCCTAATAGCAGATCCTCCAACATGTAAGAAAATTAAGGATGTCTTTTCACAAAGAAAATTAGAGTGCGCCTCAAGTTTCAGTCACACACTCAGCACTTTTAAAAATGTCTCTGGTAAGAAGTGATGACAGCTGCTTGACTGCTAGAGAGGGAAGCCCCTCAAAAATATCATTAATCGTCATTAGACAGCTGCAGATGTCCTCCAAGCTTGTCTGGAGTCCTGACTTCCTTGGTCTGCTCCCAGGGTTCACTTAAAGAGATAATACAGTGTGGAGCTGGAGGAACACAGCAGGCCAGGCAGCATTAGAGGAACAAGAGAGTCGACATTTTGAGTCAGGACCCTTCTTCAGAAATAGGGAGGGGGAAGGGAGCTCTGAAATAAATAGAGGAGGGGTGGGGGCTGGGGAAGGTAGGCGGGATGGTGATTGGTGAGTGCAGGTTGGGAGTGGTGGGGATTGGTCAGTGAGGTGGGTGGGGTGGATAGTCACTTAAAGAGAGCTAACCCATTCAAAGCAGACTCCAGGAAATTGCCTTGGGACTGGAATGGTTTTACGTAACTCGCCCACAGGTTGACTATACAAACTTATGTACCATCCTACATCTGTCCTTCTCCCCTTAATAGGCATGAAAATTCAGTGAAATAGCTTGTTACTGTTACTGTACCATCTGATGAGCAGGATCCCACAAGTTGCTCAAAACAATTCTGAAGAGTTTATAACTAATCCTGTAGAGAAAGAAAAACCTAAAATATGGGTCAAACAAAAAACAGTAGGCTTCTCACAAAGTTTTAATTAAACTTCTCATATTTTCCATCTCCTAATGTCTTCTTAGAGGGTATGTTTTCCTTGAAGACATCAACTTTGTCAGCTTAATCGGACATCTTTTGTCTGACTTTATGACACTCACAGCCAGTTTTGAAATGTGTATTTGGATTTAAACAGCATTTCTACATTTTGGAATCTCAATACTGTTACTCAGCTCTACTGATGTAATATTTTCTTTAACTTTTGTGTAGCAATGTTTCCTAAAATAGATTTATTAAAAAGTATGATGTCAAAAAGATGCATACATTTCACCAAGCATATCCATCTGTATGCCTGAGACAGAGACAGGATTAAAAAACTCTTTGAGGTTTCTGTTTAGTATTCTACTGTACAAATCTTTAGAAATTAACCCAGAGGATAAATCCATAACTAGAATTAGAGGTATTGAAAGAAGAAAAGTGTTCATTTTATTGTTCATAAAATTAAATTCAAATTTCAAAAAGTACTAGTCGAAGAATTTTAAATTGTAGCAAGATCAGAGGCAAACAGTCAGAAGGAAATAGGTTCACACAAATAGGTCACAAACTTCCTTATCTTTGTAACCTTCTCTGTTCGTACAAGCCTCCAAGATGGACCCTTCTGATGTTTTCCTCTATGCCTCCCTGATTTTAACTGTTCCCCATTGCCAGTTACACTTTCAACTGTATAGGATGAAGTTACTCGAGAGTTCTTCAAAATCCTGGGTAGACCACAGCTGGAGTGCGGTGTTTATTTCTATCTACCATGCCTGTGAGGGAATGCAATGTAGATTTAGTAGTGATGCATGGAACAGTAATTTTCATTTTAGGTTGGGAATTTAATGCTGGGATCAAATGCAGATCTCAAACCAGTGAGCAATATTTTCAAGATATTAAAGGAGGCTGATCTTGTAGATAGAAGTAAATGATTTCTGTCAGTTCCAGAGTCTAAAGTTGGGGAACAGAGCTTGTAGGTTTGAGTCAGGTCTTTGGAGGTGTATTGTTAGGGACCATTCCTACATGCATATGTTGGTGTAGGTTCAGAAGTCTCAACCACAAGCCACAACTCAATTCCTAATTTTCATTCCGTTGTCTCGTGACAAACAATCAACCCTCATGTCATTGAAGTCGACAGCTCCAAGAAATATTTTAATAAAAAAGATATGAACTGAGTCATTTTAGAACAGGTTCATTTCTTCGTTAAAAGTAGCAGAGATGAATACCCTGCAAACAGATTAAAATTTTAGTACTTATTTCACAAAGCTTGATTTCAAAATATTGACTTCATAAGTGCTACTAATGAGCCAAATGTTAACTACCAGGAGCTCATTCGGTACAATAAAAAACAATATGATATACATTACTTCCATTTCACAATCATTACTAAAAAGTCAATGGTAGGAAATATTCATGTGAAATAAGAATAATTTGAATAATATAAAAATGGATACTGAACACTTTTCCCTGTTTTTAATCAATTTAAAGTTTTCCAGCACTTTTGTTGTTATGGGTTTTTGGTATTTCTTAAAGGACTGGTGTTATTTTGTGGAAGATCTTACCTAATTATTATTTTGGGCAGTCTTTTCCTCCTGGTGGTGGCGATTTTGGAGGTGGGACAGGCACTTAATTATGCAGAGTGGTGGGGAACATAAACCCTGACAACTTTGAACCTCCACCAGAATTGAGTTCTAGGCAGAAAGGTCCATTGTTGACCTTTCTGTTCAAATAAGAAAGCCCCATTCCTCACGGTTAAAGGGTATCAGTGACTGATCGAGAGAAGAACATTTGGCAGGGAGAATACCTGCTGGAAACCACCCCTTGCCCAAGCTTCTGACTCTCTTGAACCCTCTCCCACAAAATTGAGAATCCTGCACCCCATAACCCCGCCCCCCCATACATAATTTACTAGCTGATATTGTTCTTCCACCAGTAGCCTTAACTTCTCCCATGGTGCTGCTGAGAACGAGCTGGATGGAAATTCCACCCCAGGGGTCTTGATTCCAGGTGGAGGTCACCAGGTAGCCTGGTTGGCATTTTGTTTGGCAGTCTTCCCTGCAAGAGGCAATGCCAGTCTCTGACCAGCTCCCTAGCCAGCAGGCCAGATCCTCAACAAGATTTTGCCATTTAAATTTTCAAGGAAGATTAGTGTTTTTAATAGTACAGCTGCTACACAATAAATGAGTCCATGACATGACTGTGTCAGTCTTTCATACCCAAGTGTGAAATTGTTTTAAAACATTGGGCCTTTAATATTAGTTATCTGCCTACACATATGAATACAGGATCAGGAGTAGGCTACACAGCCCTTCAAGCCTACTGTGCCATTCAATAAGATCATGGCTGATTTGATTACTGCACATTTCTATCTACTCACTACCTTTCACCCTCTTGCTTATCAAGAATTCATTTACCTTCGCTTTAAAAATATTCAAAGATTCTGTTTTTACCAGGCTTTTCTTTTTAAATATGGTGCTAATATTAGAGTTGAAGAACCAAAGAACATGGAAATTTGAAAAAGGCAAATCAACGAGGCCATCCTTTCCATGGGTTATAAGCAATATATCTTCTTCTCCATATTACCTATTGCTATGTTTCTGAGGGAGCTCCTGAATAAGGTCAGCAACTTCAAAAAGGTAGTAAAGCAAGCAGGAAAATTCAACATCCCCCAAACCAGGCACAGAGATCACAACTAATGTGTACAGTTTTTTTTTTCAAAATTCACCTCCATACACATACCATGGACAGCTGACAAAAGTTAAAGAAGAATTGCATGGTCAATTATCAAAGGAGAAAGGGATTTGCAAATTTAGAACATTAGTTTTTGTATAAAACATATGGCATTAAAATGAAAGAATTGTGAAGATTATAGGTAACATCAACAGTTCTGACAAATTTTAATCTTACTCCAAACTAACTTTGTGACTGTGTAGAAATCCAGAAATGCTGGAAAGACCAGTTTAAGCACCTCCAGACTCTGAAATGGCAGCTTGTCTTTCTAAGTCTACTCTTATTAGATGTCCTAACTGTTCTTATTTTGCAGGACTATCCCCTTGAATTGATTTTATTGACCCTCTAGTTTTATTCAGGGGTATATATTTTTAATTAAGGAATACCTGAAGTGTGGTGAAGTTACTGGTATTTGATGCATTTATGTTGTTTCAGGAACAGTTATTAAAATAACAGAAACTAGACTATATAGCCTTCTCCATGACTGTCATATTATCATGCAGCTAAGTAAAATCTTTAACTTTAGGTTAATGTTCACAACAAAAAAAATCTTACATTTTACGCTTACATGGACCACTTCTAAATATGAAAACTGAAAGAACTGCGGATGCTGTAAATCAGAAACAAAAACAGGAATTGTTGGAAAAGCACAGTGGGTCTGGCAGCATCTGTGGAGAGAACATTTGGAGTCGAATGACCCTTCCTCAGACTTGCTGTGCTTTTCCATTAATTTCCGTTTTCGCTTCTATAAATGAGTTGTTTAGCAGTGACTCTGAATGTAGTTCTGATAGAGCCCCAGGTTTTAATTTTTAACGGAGAGGTTTAATTATTAAACGCAAAATTTTCTTAATGCTGTTAAGTCTACTTAAATATGTTTTACTCTGGTCAATTTTTTGCCTGTCAAGTTTATTCTTCTCCGATGGGTTGCTGAGCTAAAGTCTCAGTACTTCTTTATGTCTCACTCCGGTGCCCAGCGATCACAGACGAACCTCGACAATCTCAGCAAACTATTCGTTACTCGCCTCAGCGCCAAATCTGCGTTTACACAGGAGCCAAATCCTGAGCCAGTTTAGAAACCCCGATCCTATTTTATCGGGGAAGAAAGACAAAAAAAAGCTCTATGACTGAAGTCGACAATCTCTCTAATAACTTACCCAAAAACAACTTCAGCTGCCGTGATCTTTTTGCTTTCGTCCCCCTGGTGAAGCTTGAGATCCTTGTCAAGTCTCGGCTGCAATTCAAGACTGAGTGTGGAATGGGGCAGCAGGATTGTTTTGCCTTCCATTCTTCAATGACAGACTGTATTGTCCAACAACTATAACAGTTCTCGTCCTGTCGCCGACCTTCCAACCTACTTGTTGAAAAAGAGGAAGTGGCTTTAATTCAGTTTCACCAGGAAATTTACTCAGCATCAGGTGCAGAATATTGTACAGACCAGCCGACAATGTTACCGCTCTCTAAATCTAATGTTAAAACAAATGCTTGCAAATCCAGCTATTTAAACATAATTTTCCCAGTGTTTCACTCTTATAATAAAAATTCTGAAGTATAAGTAAATCTCACGCTGGTTAGTCAGCCAATCACTTTCAATACACTAACTTTCCAAAACACTGCCTATTATTTATAATTTGGACACAAAACTTCCATGTTGTTTTAAAGAGAAACTTTACATCACGTGAACACATAAGCAGAGACTACAAAGTTGGGCGGATATGATCTTTGTGGTTTCAGAAAATGCCCCGGGACTTTCCGAATATTAAAGAAAGCGGAAGAGGAAAACCAGTGTCCGATTCGGAGCAGAGCACAAAACTGAGCTAGTTTGGGGTTTTGCCTTTGAGTAATAAACTCTCCAGGTTGGGTTCGGGTGTCGGTCTTGAACTTTTTCCGGCAGTGTGGTCCCAGCTCAGCTGGACATGTAGCAACTGAGAGAATGTGTCACTTGACGAACATCCCACGCCACCGACCTTGTCTTCTCGGTCAGTTCATTGTGTAACCGTGACAATCATATCCACTCTACTACCCCGGAAAAAAAAAGTACTTTCCGAGGCATGTGACTATTAATTATTTCAAAAGATGTACTTTCCACTTGCAGACGAACTCACTGAAACGATGACAGCAGTAGCAGTGAGTCAGATTTGGTGTAAATTTACCTTACGTGTCATGTTACACCAAGTTCACAGCACAGAAACAGACCATTCGGCCCAATTGTATTGTGCTAGCTTCAGTGTCCCACAGAATCTCCAACTATCCATTAGTCTCATTTTGTACTCCCTCTTTCACTTATTTTGATTTAGCTTAAAATATATCACCTTAATCACAGCATATGGTAAAACATTTCACCATCTGAGCACTCTCTAAATGAAGAACTTTCTCTGAATCGTTTTATTAATGATTAGTTTTGGACTCACATGTGGGAACGTTTCTTCATACCTATCTTCTGAATCTCAAAATTGTAAGGAGTTTATCAAATAATGTCTCAGCTTTTCAGATTCCAAAAGAAAATTAAGACCCAGACTGCTCCACCTTTCTTGATGAGCTGATGGAGATATTGTTCATGAAAGTTGTAAAAATACATTACATAACAGTTCAAATTTAGCATTGCTTAAGTACAAAACAGATTTATTTCAATGCAGGAAATGGCACCCAAAGGTGTCTTACAACACTTACAATTATAGCTTACATTGACAAAATTCATTTAATGTCAAGCTTACAGGCCAAGGTGCTTTACACTATTTTCAACCCTTCAGTGTCCTACATCACAGAGACCTTACAAAGCAGCGTTTCCCCTTGTATTCATAAATTCCTTTTCCTCCTCTAGCCTATTTAGAGTTTAGTTGAGCTGGAATTTACAAGACATCAGCTAAGTTTACATTTTGGTGAGTTTCATGGAGGCTTTCCCTCATTAAGCCCTAGAGGGATTTCTCACACCATCTTCCTAAATTTACTTCATTGACTATGCACCACACCTTTCAGGTGTCCACTTATGATCTTGTCACTGGCAATTGCCAGGACTTCCCAGGATTCTTGGCACTGGCACCATCTTTGAAGCTCAGGTATGCACCCTGTCAAGTGTAGGCAGTTCCAGAAATGCCATTCACAGTTCCTGTCGAGGCATGTCAGACAGAGGCAAATTGACACCCTGCTTTGCCAACAGGCACTTTGAGGTGTGCCATGTAGTTGCTGCCTGTGAGATATTGGTGACTTGTGTCCAAGACAGAAGGCCAGAAGATCAAACAGTGAGCTTGAGTCACAAGATAACCATTTCGAATTCCACATTAGGAATTGTCACCATCTGGTTTCTATCTGGCCAATAGGAAACTGCATATAAATAAGGAGAAATTACATAATATTGAGATGTTAGCACAAGCTAATGGATGCAAGCAGGCCCCTTGTTACTCACTAGTAAAAATCTCATCTCTTCGTTCAACACACTGTTGGAAGAGGGGATATTCTCCTTATTCTTCATCTCATGTGATTCTACCAATTTTGTTGCCTATTCTCACATCATTCAGTGGCGTTGAAAATTCAGACTTTATTTTCTAAGTAGCATGTATTCTCTTTATTCTCCCTTCTAAAATGCACATCACCTCAAAGTTTTCTACATTAAAGTTAATTTGGTGATTACATACCCATTCTGCATGAAACCATAAGATATAGAAGCAGAATTAGGCCATTAAGCCCATTAAGTTTGCTCTGTTATTCAATGAGATCACAACTGATCTCCTAATCCTTAATTCTACTTTCTGGCCTTTTCTCCATAACCCTTCAATAAGGCAGCTCAACACCACCTTCTCAAGGGCAATTAGGGATGTGTAATAAATGACACCCAGCGAGAAATGCCCAAATCCTGTCAACAAATAAAAAACGGTTGTATTAAAAAGAGAAAGTGTTGGAAACTCAGCAGATACGGCAGCATTTTTGAAGTCAAAAACAGAGTTAACATTTTGAATTTAATGATTCTGTTTGGACTCAAAACATTAACTGTTTTCCTCTTCACAAATGCAGCCACACCTGCAGAGTTTCTCCAGAACTTCTTACGTTTATTTCAGACTTCCAGCATTTGCAGTACGTTCATATTCTATTTCAAGTTTTTTTGAAAGAGCACATTTTGTCAGCTGCTTTGTTTATTTAAAAATACACCCCATAATTTGGTGCCAACCACAATATTTGATATTGTGTTTTTCAGATCCAAATCCAAGTTATTTATGAAAATAGTGAACGGCAATGGCCCAAGTACAAATTCCTATGCAATACCACTTATTCAGACTGCCAGTCTGAGTGGCTACCCTTAAGTTCTACTGCTGTTTGTTCTGTAGTCAGTTTGCTATCCATTCTGCTATCTATCCTCAAACTCCACAACTTGCAACCTTAGTCATTAGCTGTCTGTGCTGTACCTTATTGATGATCTTTTGAAAATAAAAATATATTACACATGCTACATTAAATTTTTCTCCTATTTCATTGACTTCATCAAATATTTTTTAAAAGGGCTTATCAATCAGGATATTCATTGTGAAATCCATGCTGATAATTTTTCAATAACCCCCTGAAATGAAGATTTCATTATATTTCCTATCTTTCTGACCTTAATGGTGGCATGGTGGCCCAGTGGTTAGCACTGCTGCTTTATAGTGCCTGGGATCCAAGTTTGATTCCACCCTCAGGTGAGTGTCTGTGTGGAGTTTGCACATTCTCTGCATGTCTGTGTGGGTTTTCTCTGGGTGCTCTGGTTTCCTCTCACAGTCCAAAGATGTGCAGGTTAGGTGGATTGGCCATGCTAAATTGCCCAAAGTGTTCAGGGATGTGTAGATTTGGTGGGTTATAGGGGGATGGGTCTGAGGGTCAGTGTGGACTTGTTGGGCCAAAGGGCCTGTTTTTACACTGTAGGGATTCTACAATTCTTATCCACAATGCAAAAGAAGCTTGTCTGCAGTTCCCTTTGCATGTTTCATCTCCACTTTTAAATATTGCTGTTTCAAATTATTCCATCATATGTGTAGGTGTATGTGTGTGGAAGGGCTAATATTTGCAGAGCTCATCCAAGTGCTTTGAAACTTCTAAAAGTTCAGTTTCATACATCACTGCTCCAGACAAAAACTGGGATATCATGATTGGTGCAGGGTTCTTGAAAAGAGTGTGAGGCTCTTGGGATGGGAAACCAACTCTTGAGAAACCAAAATGTAACAGTGGTGGATTTTATAATCATAGTTAACTACATGTCTGCTCTGCTTCTTCTCATTGCTCCATTTAGTGGTGAAGTTCTGTGAACACTACGTAAATTACTATATCAAGGTTGCACAACTTTACAGTGGGATTTGAAGATAGAGGCCCACCTGAAGACTGAGATATTGGGCCTAAATTTGCTGAAAGCCTGCATCATCTATAATAAATATGTCATTGTTATGTGCAGAATGTTTTTTTAATGGTATGAATTAATAATTAGAAAAACACTTTCTGTGTTTTATTATTCTGTGATCTAGCCTTTTATGCATCATCTACTTTAATTATTCCACCATGGGTGGCCATGACAAGTGTGAGGTACTGGAATTTCTACTTTAAACCTCTCTACCTTTAAAAGCTACCTACTAAGCACTTGGCTTGTTTAATATTTCGTTATGTGGCTTTGTGTCACATTATGTGTGGTAATATTCGTGGGACACACCTTCAGATGTTTAACTGTAAGGGCGGTAATGGAGAAGGGTAGTGATCCAGAATCCAAGATGAATGTTCTGGAAAGATGGGTTTGATTCCCATCATGGCAGGCAGTGAAATTTTAATTATATGTAAAAACAATAGTCTGCAATTACTAGCCACATAACCACTGGTGATTGTCATAAAAAGCCCATTTGGTTTGCTAATGACCTTTAGGAAAAGAAATCTGCCAACCTTAACTGATATGGACTACATGTAAATCCAGATCCATAGCAAGGTAGTTGACTCTTAACTGCCATCTGAGAAATTAGAGATGGCAATGAATGCTGGTCGATCCAGTGCTACCCATATCTGATGAACAAATAAGAGAAAAAAAACTTTATGACTAGGAATCATTATTGTTCGACAACTTATGATATCACTTTAGCAAACCGTAACTGGTTGAGATTTTTGCATTACTCCACAGAGTCCTAGTCTAAGTGTTGAACAAGTTATCGTATTCCTTAGCACCAACGCCTCCCCAGCCCTGACGTCCCTGATGCATCTCTGCCCATTGTCAACGTCAAATCGGTCTTCCTGGGAGTCGACCCAAGGAAAAAAATGGGCCGGACAGTGTTCCCGGCCGAGCACTCAGATCCTGTGCAGACCAACTGGCGGAGGTATTCACCAAAATCTTCTACCTCTCCTTACTATAAGCCAATGTACCCACCTGCTTCAAGAAGATCACCATCATTCCCATACCTAAGAAAACATATGCAGTGTGCCTTAATGACTACCGCCCAATAGCTCTGACCCTCAATAATCATGATGTGCTTTGAAAGGCTGGTCATGGCCCACATCAACTCCAGTCTCCCAACCTGCCTCGATCCCCTACAGTTTACCTACCAATGTAACATGTCCTCAAAAGATGCCATATCCCTAGCCTTGCACTCAGCCCTAGAACATCTGGACAACAAGGACACCTACGACAGACTCCTGCTCATTGACTACAGCTCTGCATTCAACACTATTATCCCCACCAGACTGATCTCAAAACTCCAATACCTTGGTCTCGGCTCCGCCCTCTGCAACTGGATCCTCAGCTTTCTGACCGATAGGCCACAATCAGTGAAGATAGGTAACTGCACCTCCTCCACAATAAAATTCAACACTGGATCCCCCCCAAGAATGCGTCCTCTGCCCCCTACTGTACTCCTGTATGCCCATAACTGTGTTACCAAGTTCCAAGTGAATGCCATCTATAAGTTCGCTGATGACACTACTGTATTAGGATGGATATCTAACCAGAAGTCAAAATACAGAAGGGAGAAAGAGGGCT